GGGGCCCCATTGAATGAAACTACGGTATTATAGTTTATATTATATATTTTTTTAAAGTTTTTTTTAATTTTCAATGAAAAATAAATGCGATCGTTAATATTGACCTTGGTACAATGTAAACCAAGACTTTGTTGCAACTCCCAGCCCACATAAGCCTAACCTATAATGCCAAGCATAGGGCTCGTGATCGCGGTACCCTGACCATTAAGAAGACGCACTGGGATATGGAACGCCATCGCTGCCTTCGGTAACAGCTTACCATTCGGCGCATTTTCATTCGGCCCTTTTACCATTACGTTCGGCTTTTTTACCATTCGGCGCATTAACATTCGGCCCTTTTACCACTACGTTCGGCTCTTTCACCATTCGGTGCATATTACGTTCAGCTCTTTTACCATTCGGCGCATTCATTCGGCCCTTTTACCATTACGTTCGGCTCTTTTACCATTCGGCGCATTTTCATTCGGCCCTTTCACCATTCGGCGCATTTACATTCGGCTCTTTTACCATTACGTTCGGCTCTTTTACCATTCGGCGCATTTACATTCGGCGTAGTATTGGCATTCGGCGCAATTATAAATAAAATATAACCTTTGACATTCGGTCAAATGAAAAATTTGGGCGGCTGTGGGAATGAGCCTATACAAGTTTAGTCGCATGGTCGCAACGCCGTACCATCCACTATGGCGCAAAAGATTAATGGTGCTTAGGCCTACTAGGCCTAGGCCTATTAAAGATGTACTTAATTAACTTCATTTAATGCATCTTCTGGAGAATTTCGAAAGGGAGAAGGTATTATTATTTTTATATTAATAATAACAATAATACAGAAATAATAATAGTAGGCCTATAGGCCTAGCTAGAGGCTAGGCCTAATGATTTATCAAATGATAAGGCCAAGGGTCCTGTCTGGCCGGTTTTCACTGCCGAAGAGATGACAACTGACGAGGCATGCATGTGGGGTACTAGGGCTTCTTGGCCATAGGGGCCTAATATTACTATATGGTTTAGGGGGTGGGGTTAGGCCTAGTTAGGGGTGGGGCCGAGAATATTCTGTAGCAATTTAGTTTGCTTTTGGTTTATCCTGTCTCTGATTTTTGGTAATATGGTACTGTTATTTCTGTATGTTTTGTTTTCTGTTTGACGAAATAAATGAAATGAAACATCAGGGCCTAGGCCTTGTCATATCACTGACCTTAATTATGTTTCTGACATTGCCCTAGATTTTATAATTAAGCATCACGACTCCCCAATTTTGTTTACTTGATAAATATAAACTAGGCCTAGGGCCTAGGTCACAGGCGTGGGCCACGGCCTGGACTAATTGATGGTTAGCAGGCGTAGCCTATAGGCCTATGGCAGGACGTTACATGACAGGTTATTAATTATTTTACAACCAAACACAAATGACTTCTAATAAATGGCCAAAAATGTATTTTTTAAGTGACTTCTTAAAAATTTAAATTGAAGTTGCTTTTTTTTTTATTCTCTTGAACTCTTTGTAAAAGCCAACTTGTGTTTGTATGTAGGGGTGCTGTATTGTATGTGTCAGAGACTTATTCTCCGTGTTATTCTTTTCAGATTGCCAGTGACAAAATCTCCACGCTGTCAGATGCCCAACTTGAAAATTTGAGTGTGACAACAATTGGTGATAGGCACCGACTAAGAATCATTAGCTCAACCCGCCCTTGATAAACTAACGTTACGTTATCTCACTATATTAATTGGATTAACACATTATCAAGGATAAGTACTGAGTGTTTAACACTGGTGTCCTTGGATTCAATTATAAGTAAATGGATTAGTTGCCTTTTTTATGAGGTTTTAATTGTTCTTTACCGCCGAAAGTGCGGTATTCTAAAGTTAGTTTATGGAGGGCTGGTCGGCCTAATGATAAGTTGTAGACAAACAGGTAGGCCTATTTGTACATGTGTATTGTATCTATCATAAAGTGACTTTCATATGTATATATTTTATGTAAGAATTTAAATTTAATATTTCATTTTATTTATTTTCCCGAATACATACCTGTTTATTACTATTATGAAAGGTCACTGAACTGTCTCCTGAATTTCCCAAATTATACATTGCCTGAATTGAGACAACATATGTTTAAACCCACAATTATTATAGTATAGTATTTCAACTTTTCTCTAGAATTAACCTGAGTAAGGGCTGGTATGCCAGTAGTATTACAGTATATCCATATAGCTTTCAAGTCTCGTTGATCTGGCGTCAATTTTGGTTTCTAGACTATCTTACATCAGACCTTAAATATCACACATTTTTTTTTCTAGGTAGGCCACTATTACAGATGATCTGAAATGTGCTCCTAATTCACCTTAAGTTTACTTCAATGTTTTTTTTACCTGTTCTGTATTTTATAGGATCCATTTTGTCTAGATTTATGCCAGCCAGACACAGCCCCTACACCAAAAAAAAGGAAAGCACTCGAAGAGGCCATGGACTCGGAAGATAGTTTGCCTGTCAGATCCATCGACAATGATAACACCAAAATGTTGGCAAAAGCAACAACCTAGCAGAAGCTGGGCTTGGTGAAAAAAACATAACAGGTGAAAATAACATAACAGTACATAACAGTATAAATCCGGATGAATTCCAGGAAGTACTATATGCTAACTTTCCCAAGCTGAGGGATGCTGGGGGTTTTGAGATAATAATATGCTTTGGGAGTGGAAGAAAGCTTACCCCAATTGGGGGGCATATTCACCCCTGAATATAAAAGAAAAATCAGGTCAATGTAGAGTCTATATACGACCAATTCAACATGCACTAAACATGGATTCAGAAAGGGTAAAGAGGCATAATATGATCAGTTATCAATCAATCAATCAATCAGTCAAATTCACCTATATAGCGCAAGTATCCATTAAATAATATTCAAAGGCGCTCAATTTTTGTGTGAATTTGAAACACATCCTTAAGAAAGTTCTAATAGATAAAATATAAATGACAGTTTATAAATGATTATTAATACATCATTTTTAATTGTTTACTCTTTTAGGAAACTGATGAGGACTCTGGATTGACACAGAAGTGTCCTAAATGCCAAAATAACATTTCATTCTGTGTTTTAAAGAAACATTTGGCAAGCTGTGCAAGTAGCAGGTAACAATGAAATATATTTTCTATTTTGTATTTTTGACATTTATAAATGACATGAATGAATGAAATCAATATGATTGATATAAATATTCATACTTCAATCTATACATAATTATTTGTTAATATTGAGTCTCTACGGAGCCCTGAAAGGGACTTGGTTTAAAAAATATATATATAAAGTATTATTTTGTGAAAATCTCCCCAAATAATATTTCCTTCCCAGAAAATATATTTGAATTCATATTAAATAAAGTCTCAGTATTGCATTGTTATTGTAAGAACAGATTCTGATTTCCTAGTGCTCGGATTTAACCCAAACCAACAATAGAAATCCATGTCCTTTCTAACATTAGGCCTAATACAGTAGATTTGTTTGATTTGGCTTGTTTAAAGAAAAAAGTAGTATCTTTAATCATTAAGCGTTATTTTAAAATTGTTTATTAAATATTTTTACTGATCACTTCTATTTTATTAGACCTAGTCCTCCATCAACAGTATCCATACCACCTGAGAACAGGTAAAACGAGCATTTTTGCTGTCACTGACTATATCTTTGTATAACTTATGTAATAATGATCACAACTATTCGCAGCTGACTCGATTTATTAACTAATGTTTGAACTATAATAATAATTAATTTAGAAAAAATAATTCTCCATTTTCGAAAAAAGAAAAAATTGTCATCCAATGTTTCTGGAACAAGGTTAAACACACTTGACTGTATAGGTAAGAGATTTCCCACATGAACTGTCATTTTTTTCTGTGTTTTTTTTTTTTTCAGGTTGAAGAAAGTGATACATTGTATGATCCAGACCTCACTCATAGTCATACTCCTAATGACATTCATGTAAGTATAATGTATCTGAAGAATGTACTTAATTCTAAAAGAAATATTTGTAATAATAAAGCAAAGTCTTATTGTATTTGCAGCTATTCACCTTCTCTTGAGAAACCTTTCAGTAGTACATTGTAAATTAGGTAGTAGTTCACAATTCACATAGACGTACTACACACTGTAATTATGGAATCTGCCCCCCACCCCCACCATGGCAAGGTGGTGAAGCATTCACCCTGAAAGCAATGGTCCCAGCTTTAATACCTCGAGATAATAATCAACTTATTTTATATTAAGGAATTGTTTTTACCATATTACAAAATAGTATCGACCAGTTAGGCATTAATGTGATACAGGTTTGGACTGTTCCAATATAAAATAGGGTTGTTATTTTTTGTTTATGGTAAATTGAATTTCTTAAATTTAATTACCAGTATTATGTATTAGATGCTGTGATTCGTATTTTATGTTATAAAAGTTTTATATTTCCTTATATTTTATATTGTATTCAACATTTTAATATTTTATTTACATTAATTTCTTTTATATTAACACCATCTATCTTTCCCATCAGGAAGGCGGATCAAGAACTTCAGACGTCTACTTGACCATTTTTGAGCTGAACCGCACTACACTTACCAACCAAGCAGTATGTGACATTTGTGTGCAGCTGACAGGGAAGAATATAATATATTGTAAATAAAGTAATATAATGTAAATAATTAAATGAATGAAAAATAATTTAATATATTTGTAATTAATGTATAATGCAGTAATTGTTAATAAACAGTTTCTATGGTTCTATTCAATAAATGCATCACTATTATGTTCAGTTCCATGTTTGTCCAAGTTTATTGAGTGTGAATTGTACTTCATGTTTTTGCAGCATCATAATTTTCTAATTAAATGTTCCTTGGACTAGCAGTCATACAATTGTTTTTTTATTTTTAATTAGGCAGCTGCTGTGTTTTGTTACAAAAATCATGATGCTGTAAATTACATAATACTCTTTAGTTTTTGTTTTTTTTTGTACAAAAAAAAATATAGACACACTATAACATCAGAAGTTGTTGGCCATTTTGAATATATAATTACAATACCAATGTTCATTAATGCACAACATCCTGGAAGTAGCATGGTACCATTGCTGCTGGAGAAACACCGATGTTCAAGTCTGTTTATTTATCCAAGATTTTTGTTTTGGCGGACATATTGAAAAGAGACAGCCATTTTAATGAAAGTATTCTTGAAATAGGCAGGTGAATTTGGCATAGAATCATTCCTAGAGATCTGAAAACATGCAAAAATACTTACAACACATGATATTATTACTTATTTTTAAAAAATTCTTAACATTTAACTGTTTAAAGTGAAATTTGAGGAAACTGGTGGCCATTTTGAATATACAATTAGCAAAGTTCCGTGATGCATAACACGCGTAATGCCTTCCGCGTTCTGTTATCAAGTGATGGTTTTATAGATTTTTAATTCTTTGGGGTCCAAGCCTCAATATATTATGATATATTGCACTATACAATAAACTACAATAATTACAATACATTAATGCCTATACCCTATATTTACACACAACAGTCACAGATTTTGTATTGGAAAAATGTCCTCATTTTGGTCGAAATGAATAATGTTCAAAAAACCGTAACTCCGCTTTGGCTTATCCCATAGGAATGGTTGACCCCTCATTTTAATCCTATTTTTATGTACAATCCATTGGTATTACTTCTAAAATGAAATATTTAACTTTAAAATTGCATGATTCTGCCTAATGAAACTGCCATAATTCTGCCGTAGGCTCTAGACCTAGGCCTACTTCTTCTAGTTCTTATAGGCTCATTCCCACAGCCGTTGAAATATTTGTAAATGCGCCGAATGGTAAAAGGGCTGAATGTAAATGCGCCGAATGGTAAAAGGGCCGAATGAAAATGCGCCGAATGGTAAAAGAGCCGAACGTAATGGTAAAAGTGCCGAATGAAAATGCGCCGAATGGTAAAAGAGCCGAACGTAATGGTAAAAGGGCCGAATGTAAATGCGCTGAATGGTAAAAGAGCCGAACGTAATGGTAAAAGAACCGAACGTAATGGTAAAAGGGCCGAATGTAAATGCGCCGAATGGTAAGCTGTTACCGAAGGCAGCGATGGCGTTCCATACTGGGAAGCGTTGTTCACGGCTTTGGACTGCGGCGAAAACTGATTCCCCCATCATTAATGGAACAGACCCACGTCATGCTTGGCTGATTAGTTTTGCTTTACATTTCGCAAGTCTAGTGCCATAAGCAGCAAAAGTCCATTTCTAGTGTTGTTGTCAAATGCATTTCAAACCAGCCTGGTTTTTTTATTTACGTTTTGGAATAGATTTGGAGTTACGTTTTGGAATAGAGTTTGGAGAGGGCGTTTGATTAATTCAGACCTACGTTTTGAATTTGAATTACAATTTAAAGAAATTAGAACTACATTTTGGAAAATTTGAACTACGTTTTCAAAAATTAGAACTTCATTTTGGGAAACTAGATCTACATTTTGAGAAATTTACGCCTACGTTTTTATAAATCAGACATTGAATTTTGCAATTACATTTTGATTTTAACATGGACTTTTGCTGCGTATGGCACCCCATAGAGGTATAGGCACTCCTTATGGATCGAAGCTAGACATTACGAATTAGTCATTTGTAAAACAAAATGATAAGCTATATAAAATGTTGTATATTGAACAGTGACGGGGCCCAGTCGGCAACCTCTTATATTTTTCAAAATTATAAAAACATTAAGTTATTCAAATTAATCAGAATTTTTTCCTAATAATCGGCTTTCCTCAGCTAGCCCCAACCACGTTGGAGCCGAAGTGGGTGGACACCATCTGTGCAAATCTTTGTCTGGGCACCCAATATTTCGACTTCCTGACACGGCCACTATTAAGGTACCATTTCAAAAGGTAAGGTTTTCCGTCGGGGGAAAAGAGAAGGTTTTGTCGGGGAATAACCATAACAGGGATACACATCGTGATGAATAATTCATTGTGATCGTGAAAAAGCAATCTCGAATTTTCAAAAATTATTATAACAATTATAAAGTAATATTACAGTAGCTTGATGCCTATAAAATAAGTAATTATCACCAAACCTCGTCAACTTTTGTCACTTTACACTTCTTGTTTTCGTCTTATTGCAATTTTAATTGTTGAATTTTTTCTTCATTTTATTCTAATTGAATGTAAATTATCTAATTTAATGTACATTTTTTATGTTCTCCTATTGACAACTTTTGGCTTTTTATTCGAAATTATTGATTTTTTAATTGCAATTTTTATCTTTTGATGTTAAATTTTGACCACATTTTATTCTAATTCTTATTGAAATCCTGTTAATGAGATTATACAATGTAATTTTTGAACCCATGACCATGGGATTGGAAGTCAAGCATCTTAACCACCAGGCTATTCATCCCCACTCCACATAACTTAATTATTATAATGTTAAATGTTAATATAAAATTCCTGCTCATGTACTCGCAAAAAAAATGCAAAGAGTAATAAAATCGATTGTTAAGAACGACCAAAAAGGGTATATTAAAGGCAAGGCAATTCAACATCCGACAAGTCGAAAATCTCTATGATACCCGAAAACAACAGGTAAGGATGTGTCTATATTAGAATTTGAAAAAGCTTTCGACAATATGAAAGAAATTTCATGTTATACACACTTCACTATCTTAATTTTGGTGAAACATTTTTTATTAAAATGGATACAGACAAATACACCTAATGTAATTAATAAAAGTTGGGTGTCTAAAAGTTTGGAAATTTCAAAAGGAATCAGACAGGGATGCCCTTTGCATTGCTTTTCATTGTTACAGAGAGATAATGGCCACAGCTATTAGATGTAATGAATCATATAAGGCAGGGTACTGTATTAGTTTTCCAAAGGAAATCGGAGTAGTAACGTACGAGAAGCATGAATATTACAACCTGCTGACGATACCATATTATTTGTTGCAGATCAAAAAGGTATATCAAGGGCTTTAATATTTATTAATGATTTTAATATAGGTAACAGATATGAAACTGAAAGAAGCAAAATAAATAGCAATATAGCTCGGTAAATGGCAGTCACGAAAGGGTAAACCTTTTGGTTGGACACAGGAACTATTTAAAATCCTGGGCATTTATGTTGGCAAAAGTGAAAAGTGGTGTTAATAAAAAGTTGGTGTAATAGTAAAACATTTAAAGAACTTTAACTTTAACTTTATTTTAAAACGTGATTGTATTATAGGCAACAATATTATACTAAAATGTTACCTAAAATATATAAAAAAAATATTGAAATTGCGTTATAAAACTATGTATATAGAACAACAACATTCAGTGTCGCCAGTAGAAATAAAAGAAAATTATTTGTGGGGTAATGCCCTGATTAATTTACAGTGGCATTTGACTTTCAAAATTGGGTAAAATCTGGTTTAATACAGGTGAAAAAACATCATTTAAAACAATAATTTGATTGTCCAAGATATCTTCTAATCTTCAAAATATACCCGCTGTAATTAATTGAGCCCTGATGTATCGAATAAAATTATTATAATAAAATGAAAAAGAAGTAGGCCCTATGTCTACATCATGGTGAGTCAAATGGCCGAGTGGTTAGCGGGGGCGCCGCAAGTTATAGCCATAATATCGGCGCTGGTTCGAACAACGGCACGCTCGCCTATAGTTCTGGTGGTGGTAGAACAAGTTTTCTCGGTCGGATGAGGACTATAAACCGTAGGCCCAGTGTACGCAATGGCTCATGTGCACTATAAAGAACCCAGTACATCCTTCCTTTAATAGGGGTTCCAATATATTATAAGAGATTATGCCATTTTTTGTTATCTGTAAACAAAATTACATCTTGTATTAACCATAATGAAGTTTTTTCGTTTGATATAACTTAATCATGGGTAAAAGAACAAAATAAAAGAAATATACATAATAGCAGTCTTTTCAATTTAATAGCAAACACCAATGTTGAAAAGGCTAGAGGTATATTTCCTATATTTATCAACGATCTTGCATTTAAAAAAAAGTAGCAAAATCTAATAAAGACAAGGCACTAAATAAATGGAAACATGTTATAACATGTCAAATTCTTACAAATATAAGCATAGGCACGTAGGACCTACTGTAAATATAACTATAGAATAATGAATGTGTCACGTCAAAGATGGATATTTTTAATATAACGTATGTATTTATACACAATGAAAAGGGGATTTAATAAAAATTAAACCGATTGTTATTATTTATTATGAAAATTGTAAATAATATCTTATCTTATCTGCAGCAAAGAGGGAAAAAATTCTTTGAAATTTTCAGTAGGCATCAAACTTTCTTTAAAGTCGTGATTCTGTAAAGAAGATGACCTAGCTTTATAGGTGTGGATAAAATGCCAAGTGATCTGGTATTAATATTTCTTCTAAAGTTACGGTATCAATTTTGCATGACTTAGGGTATCATTATTTATTATCGCAGATTATTCTCACATGCTGGTGTTGGCAGCACCCTCTGTTTTTCCTTAATATTTTTAGCGCCAGAACTTCCCAATAAGGTAACAAATGTCTAATGTTCACAACAGAGAGGGGCCTTCTGCCCCAGTGTAAAATCTGTCTCTTATACACATCTAGATGTGTATAAGAGACAGGTACTGTACTGTTTGTCCTTCACAGGAAGTCTGTAGTATGCCATGTTTCAGAACATTTTTTAACTGAAAGTGTATGTTCACAAAGTAAAACATTTTTGAATACACATACAACTTTTGAGTCTAAATGTAAATGTATAATTTCCACTTTAGCCTAGCCCCTAAATGGTGATTTTTACACCTCACAATAACTAGACTCTTGATATATAACATACAGTATTTAAAAATAACTGAACCAATTTTCAGTCTAAAAGTTTATGCACTGTATATAGTTTTAAAAAGTTTGAGCACAAAATAAGCAAGTTTGATATCTCCGTACAACAACATGTTAAAAAAACACTAAAGTGACCATACATGAGTAATTGTGGAATTCTGTTTTGCTCCATTGTGAAGTATATGAAATCGTTTCGAACAGAGCCAAAAACAGAGATCAAAGATTGTAACGTGAGTGTTTTGCTTCCTACTTCTCATATCTGCAAGCAACTCATTCATTACATGTTTGTTCTATACAGCCATTCATGCCCCTTAAGAATGTCTTGGCTCTATGCATCATTTAATTGGTTACTAATCATAAATTCAGAAATATGGTCTAAGATTTGAATGAAAATTTGTTTCAACACAAGATGAGAGAAAGATCATTACAAACTCTGTCTCTTATACACATCTTGCAACAACAGCAAGAGAAAAAGATTGATTTGGCGTAAACATTTGTCCAGTAGTGGACCGACATTTGCTGATGATGAAGCCTCTAAAGGTTATCAACGTGGTCGATCCTTGAGTAGGTGTTAATTAATCTACCATATGGGATTACAACCCAGACAAACCCAGCCGCAGGAAGAATCTTAGATGACCCACCCTTTGATAATTTTGTTTTATCATTTTATTATTTTAACATCAATTTTATTAAAAAAATAATCTTTAATTCATATACAGTATTATGCATATTGCAGTAAAAAA